GAGCTGTTGTTCAGCATCTTAGCTGTAGAGGGCAGTGTCACTGGCCCTCATATGTGGGATCCAAACCGGGGCCCTCTGGCGTCCCAAGCCAGCTCCTAACCAACGCGCCACTCGGTCGGCCCTCCTTCTGTTTTTTAAGGTAGCATAATCTCAGGTTCTGGGAATTAGGGTGTGGACACCTTTGGGGGCCATAAATTTGTCTACCATAGTAAAGGACATAAAAAAACTTAAAGTGTCACATTCTTGGATGGGAAGATGTGGTATTGTAAAGATGTCATTTCTGCCTAAATTAGCCTACAAATTCTGTGCAAGGTGCTTTAATGGTAACTGAAATTGGGTTTCGAATCAGGCAAGTGGATAGATGCTCAGAGAAGACTGTATTGTTTAGAAAAACAAGGGCTCGCTGCACTGACATCCCAACATCCCTTGCAGACTTTTTTTTTTAAAGATGTTATTGGGGTATTGGGGTAGGGGAATAGACAAGTTGCTGTGCTTTTGTTCTTCAGTGTAGTTGTGGAAGCTGTCGTTTCACTGGCCCATGTTGGTATTGTGATCATTGCGCTCTTCCCTGGTGAGGCAGATAGCTCACCAGCTATTGGACGACTATTCACGGTGGCTCACGAAGGCGCCCGCCTGCTGCTGGCCAGCCCCACTGCAGCCCACGCGGTAGCCTGCAACTCACAGCAGCCCAGCTCCATCCAGGTTGAGCTGTTGTTCATCATCTTAGCTGTAGAGGGCGCAGTGTCACTGGCCCATGTGGGATCTGAACCGGGGTCCTGATGCTCAGAGCTGGCGCTCCCAAGCCAACTTTTAACCAACGCGCCACTCGGCCAGCACCCTTGCAGACCTTTCACTCAAGTAGATTGCTTGTATTCTAGAGACAAAAAACACCAGTGTTCTGCACAAAAGCAAAATAATGTTTCCTGATGTGTTTTCAATATTCTTACTGTTAACATCCAGGGTTTTTCTACTCACCTTATTTGAGGCACATATTTGACTCATACTATAAACTATCTACAGAGACTCCTGCCACTCTTTCCTTATTCATAACCAAGAGCTCAAGATTGAATTATCTTATACAATTTCACATTATTTCCCCTAACACACCATTTTTACACTTGTCAAACCGGAAACTCACTTTTTCTGTCCACTCACACAGCTTCATGAGAACTTTCAGCAAAAATTCCTGGCAGATGGGCACTGTCTTCTCCGTTTACTTGTGATAGCACTTAGAAAAATGCTTCTAAAGAAACATTTCTTCACTTAACTATTTCCATCATGATGTTTTTCTCAAGAGAAGTGAATGATACTGTGGACAGTGCCAAGCAAGACTGATCACATGGGTGGGTGGATTCTATGATAAGGTATTTTATTCTCTCCACTTCTGTGTATTTTTGGGAATGTGGGCGTGAAGGTGAACAAGAGAAAAATTAGTTTGTATCTCCAAATAAAGTGGCTTTTGTAAAAATGCCACCCTTGATTGCAACGTAATGACTAACTCTCCCTACAGATGGTTAGTTCATTCAATGAAAAGTTATTTCAAGGGAATTGTCATGCTTTATTAGCAACACGTATGTTTGGAATGTATCCTGTTTGTAAATCCTTGGAAATAGTCACTGTTGTTTAATCCCCAACACCAAGCAGATTGAACTCGGAATGATATCTCAGACATCACTGACCCCCCCCCCACTTGATTAAAGGTCATCTAAAGGTGTCTTTGCATTCTGTCCTCACCTATCTTACATTGACTAGACAAAACACTAAAGTAAAAAGCTTTTCTAAATTAATATTGCATTTTCAGGAATCCTGTGACACCCGGGAGAGGGGCGGATCCGGAAGCAGTCGCCCCCAGGTCCCCTGGCAGCTAGCCTGACACAGGTTAGGAGGAAGTGGCCGGGAAACGCCCAGGGAGGCAGTCTGCAGCCCAATCTGCAGCTTCCCAGAAGGTGGAAGCAACGACCCAGTCATCATTAGCCCGGCAGAATTCTGGATCCCGGTGTCACTCTGCGCAGGGTCTCCTCACTCTTCAGATCCAAGAAAACAAAACCACCACAGGCCGCCAGATAACCGGATGGAGCAGCACCATCCGCCGGCCCCACCCCCGCCCCCCATCAGCTCGATCGCGCATGCGCATCGTGGCGGCCTTAGCGCGAGGCCGGGGGCGGGGCGGAGGAGAGAGAAGGAAGGGCAGCGGTTGGGCGAGAAGGAGGCCACGCCCATTGCACCAACGTTTCTGCGCATACTCCGTACGTCAGCTTCTGGTAGTTTCGATGCGTCAGCCGACGCCCTGCTCATTTCGCGTCCGGACGTCGGAGGTGTCGCTTGTGGTTTTGCTGCTGGAGAGCAGCTGCGAAAAGCCTCTCTTCGTCCTTTGCTGTGAAAGGAAGGCGTCCGTTGGGCCTTTCTCTCCGTCCTAAGTGAGGAGTCGGCGACCTGTGGTAAATTTTGTGGTGACGGGGTCGGACCCGCGGAAACCTCAGCGTGGGTGGCAGGAAAAGTGCGGGGCCCTGTGTGGCGAACAAAGGAGGGCCGGTGGCGGGGTGGGATAGTCAGCGTCTGGTGTCGGCAGCACTAGGAATTGGCGAGGCTCGTTCCTTTCTCCGGGCTCCCCCTCCCCCCTCTCCCGCGCGTCTCACTTCCGGAACCTCACGCTCCTCCCCCACTTGTTTGTTCTTAGGAACAGTGTGTTCCGGAAGCATCCTCAGAAACAAGGAAGCTTCACACCTCGGGCCTAGATGTCTAACTACGTGAACGACATGTGGCCGGGTTCACCGCAGGAGGCCCGGTCGACGTCTGGCCGGTCCAGTCGGCTGTCCTCGGTGACCCGGAGCCACTCGAGAAGCTCGCGGTCCAGCTCCAGCGTCTCCAGCCAGTGGTCGTCCAGGAGTCGGAGCCGGCCCCGGCGCAGGTCCAGGTCTCGTTCCCGAAGGCGCCACCAGAGGAAGTACCGGCGCTACTCGCGGTCGTACTCGCGGAGCCGGTCGCGATCCCGCAGCCGCCGCGGGTACTGGGAGAGGCACTCCGCTTCCTCCAGGAGACACTACCGGTCTCCCTCGCCAGGCCGATCCCGCAGCCGGTCCCGCTCTCGGGGACGGTCATCGTACCGAAGCGCCTATGCGATAACGCGGGGGCGACGCTACTACGGCTTTGGTCGCACGGTGTACCCGGAGGAGCACGGGAGTTGGCGGGGGAGATCCAGGACGAGGTCGCGGAGCCCAACGCCGTTTCGCTTAAGTGAAAAAGGTGGGTCGTTGGGGGCTGAGAGGCGCAGGTAACTTCTCCTTTGGCACCTTTTTATACTTGTGGCGATAGTACGAGCAAGCTGGGGAACCAGAGTTGCTGTGCAATTAACAATATTTGTATTTTCTTTGGTGCCTGAGATTCCCATGGTTTTTTTTTTGGGGGGGGGGAAGGGGAGACTTAAATCTAGTTAAAACATTCTTCCCCCTTTGGGATTAAGCTGTAGGTAGGTGTTAGATGGCTCAGGGTGGAGGTAACTTTTTCTCCTGGTGGCTGGCAGTTCTTACTGGAGTCTGCTAAATGTTAGTGACTTGTTTACCTGCCTTAAACTTCGGCTAAGATGACTATTGAACAGGAAGTGTAGTATCAAAACACTCGTTTTAAAAAGAACTAATACTGCATTTCTAAAACTGGTATCGTTTCAGTATTTTAAAACAAATGACATATACTGGTTAAGGTCGAGGAACAGAAAGAAGGGTAAACATCTTTCTTTTGCTATTCTAAATAAAAAAGCTTATTTTGTGCTCCTGAGTCCTCTTGGAGAGAGAGTACAGGATTAATGACTACCTTGTGTTTCTTTTGTAGATCGAATGGAGCTGTTAGAAATAGCAAAAGCCAATGCAGCAAAAGCCTTAGGAACAACCAACTTGGAATTGCCGCCTAGTCTCAGAAGTGTTTTCCTATCTAAAGAAACAAACCGTGGAACAGCTGTAACAAATAATGGTGCAAAGTTTGAGGTAAGTATTCAAGGATTATCCAGACAGAATCTTAGGAAGCTACTGCCAGAAAGATCTGATTAGCCATTTTTATTTGATTTACCTTAGACTACTACTTAGAAAGGCTAGCCAAATGTGATTTTTTAAAACCAATATATCAGATCTGATGGTACTAGATATGGTCTCTCCCATAAAAATGGGAGATTAATGAAATTGATTTTCGGTTGACGCAGTATTAATTACTTTCATGATTATAGCTGGTATTTGGCCATTTTTGTGTAGTTATCAAAATTTCCTAACTATACAGAGTATCTACCTGTAACATTCGCAGCATTTTATTCCCTCAAATTCTGTACTCAACATACAGTATAGTTTATCTGCTTTATTTCTGTCTTATAGAAATCATGAATGTGGTCTCCAGACATTGATCTCCAGAAAATCTGTTGGTAATTGATACATGGGCATAAGCATCAGAGGTTGAACTAATTTGAAGTTTATGTTCACACACTGAAAGCTTAGTTTTTGTTGGTAGATCCATGTGCATGCTAGAATTTGGGTTAGGTACTATTTGGATAAGACAATTTTTAAACAAAAATACACTTTGTAATGATGGGGCATCTGTGATATAGATGTCCCTTTCATAATAAATGCAATATATTCCAGATGTTTTGAGAGATTACAGAAGAAGAGGCCTGCTTCACTTGCAGATAAGTTTATCGTAATTCTCCAGAAATGTGCCGGATGTGCACTGGCAAATTGCACTGTGCTTTTAAAGTTATGTGAACCCAAAGCATAAAATCCATAGCTTTAAAGGTTTAAGGTGGTTAGGAATTGGTAGAATCAGTTAAAACAGGGAAGATGTCTAGATGAACTTATTATTCAGACCCAGATGTGGGTATGCTTATGTATTAGTAGTAGACAAATAAGATCTTAGTTCAGGTTTTTTTCAGATGATTAGGTGCCCGATTGGCAAATGCCTTAGTTCTTTGAAACTAGGTATTATCTAGTATGACTTTATTGTCAGTTACTTTAACTGTATTGGGGAATAGAAGACTCCTTTATGGGGAAGAGTGTCTTAATCAGGCCTATTATGCCAATTTTGTGCTCAACAGAGTACAATGTTTAGACAGTTGACTATATGGTTAGCTCCAACTTGATTTGTGTCTGTACAACCAAATATATAATTGGGCTGCTTTGTATACATACAGTACTGTAAACCAAAGGTATGACTTTTAAAAAAACAAATTTTCTCTTAACCTGTCTAGCTGTTGGAAAAGCTAACAGAAGATGGAACTAAAACTCAGAAGTCTTCCCAGCAAAAAAGCATAGCTTTTAGCTCTAATGTAAGTATATCTAAGCATTGACTAAAAAATTGGACTTTGAACATGTATACATTATGTGGGCTTTTATTTTTGTTGGCTCGTTTTTGTCTTTTTGGTGATAATTGGGGGCCTACCAAACCACTTTATAAAGAGAATATTTTCTTTTTTTGTGCCACTTTCAGAAGTGACCGGTGTCATAGGCTCCTTCTATATTTTAGTCCCCTTATGCTTTTTAAATTGTTAGAAAATCCCAATATCCCATCATCAGAATATTTTAAAATCAGCTCTAAGGGCTTAAAAAAATAAAATCTCAAACTGTTCTAACACCTCACTATTGTGATATGCTCTGCATGTCTGTGATTTTACCTGGTAGTTTCTTGGCTTAATAGTTGGATTGAATCAAGTTACAAGTGAGGTTCACACTTTGCATTTGGTTGGTGTCTAACTTTCAATCTTAAATGGAATTATTTAACATTTTGTAAAAAGTAAGTATGTACATTGTGTCTGGGAAGCTGACTTAATTTGTTGTCTTTCAGAAATCATCTAAAGCCACTGCTAAAGAGATCTCTTCAGGATCCCCAAAAAGAGAACAGAAAAAAAGTCCATATGAACTGTGGAAACCTGTTTAAAAAGGAAAAAACTGATGGCTAAGGTTGCCTGAAATGCACTTTATTGCAAGATTATGTTTCTAGCATTACTCCATTTCTGTGAGCAATTTTAATTGTAATCTGTTGCATTACAGACAACCAAAAAAAGATGTAAATACTTCATATTTAAATAATAGATTTCTCTTGCAGATATGAGATAGCACAGATGGACCAGAGGGTTATGTACAGGTGGGAGTCTTGTTTATATACTTGTAAATTTTTTGTGTAACATCGATTGGTTATGTAGAAAATGAAATTTCTAAGACAAACAGTAATTAAACTGTTGTACATATTTGTTAATAAACTTTTTTTATTATTTTAGTCTTACTTTATTTGTGTTACATAATGGGTCTTTATTTAACAAAGAAGAATATGGACTTACCTCTTGTTTAAAGCCTCGCTAATCCCAACCAAATCCACAGACTGACAGCACAGGGCTCACTGACTTACCTAGGAGTTTGTGGGACATGCTGAATCTCAACTTCCCACCCTAGACCTGAATTAGAACCTGAATCTTAATATTCCCTGTTGATGTGGATATTCATATTTGAGAAGACTGGGCATAGTATTCTGGAAGAGTTACACTGAGCTTCAGGGCAGGAAACTCGGCTACCGAGAGGTTGAAATGGAAATACTTTGTTGAGCTATAAAATTTGTGAGGCTTAGTTGCATTTCTTTTTATTAATGCTTTAAAAGCATTCTAAATTTTAAACTTTATTTTGAAATTCTTTAATGCTGCTGTAGCTCGGAAGGAACTTAAGCACATAGAATTTTGTAAATGTTAACTACAAAGTTCTGGACAGCTATAGACTAGACTTACGTAGTTTTTGCCCATTGATACATATTAGTGGGCACACCAAAAGTCTAGAAAGATTTAAGTCATTTAGATTCTCTATAAGTGTTATTTGACTTAACTAGATCACATGTTTAAATTGAATATTAAGATGCCAGCCAGCTTAATGAACTTATTGTGCCTATGTGTGAGGGCTTAGCAACAAAACATGTCTTCCTAGAAACCTAGGCAAGAAAAATCCTAGTGGGATTTTTTGACTACCATATGTTTTTTTAAAGGGTTGATGTTTTTCTTGCCTATTCTCTTTTACTACCATCTAAAATAGCCTTTTTAAATGCAGAAAATAATAAAATAGATTCCCAATAAGCAGGGGTAACACATTATTGAGACTGATGGGCAGAATATTAGAGGCAAAACAAATCAGGAAAGGACACCTAGAGATTAGATGAAGAGATAAGCAGGCTGCAGTTAAAAATGAAGTTGGATTTTTAAAAGTTGGGAAGGTCCTCCCTCTAGTGGGACTTAATAAATTGCTATTAACTAAAGCTGTGCGGTTGGCTATTTGACCTGTCATTTTCAATAAAATAGCAACTACCCACATGGTGGTTACTTAAAATTCAGTATCAGTCATTAGCCACTTCTCAAATGCACATTAGCCGCATGTGGTTACTGACTGTCTTACAGGAAAGGACAGATTAAATAAGAGTTTTTGTCATAGAATATTTATTGGATAGCTGCCCTAACAAAATTGGACCCTATGAAAAATTTAAATGTACACTGACTTGGATGTGTACATTCTTTGACATAATTCCTGTTGTTTTTATATAACCTTGGTCATACTCTTTTTGTTTTGTTTTAAAGATTTTTATTGGGGAATTGGGATGGGAACAGTGCTGGGGAATTGGGGGAAGAGGAACAGACAAGTTGCTGTCGTTTTGTTCTTCAGTCTAGTGGAGGACGTTGCTTCACTGGCCCAAGTTGGCACCATCATTGCGCTCTTCCTGGGCGAGGCAGATCAGTCGCCGGCTTCTGGACGGCCGCTCACTGTGGCTGCTGGCCGCTCATACTGGCTGCTGGCTACATACAGTAGCCCATGGCAACCCATTGCACGGGCTGCAGCCTACGCCGTTGCCAGGGACTCACGGCAGCCCAGCTCCAGGTTGATTGTTAAGCATCTTAGCTGTAGAGGGCAGTGTCACTGGCCCTCATATGTGGGATCCGAACCGGGGCCCTCTGGCATCCCAAGCCAGTTCTTAACCATTGCGCCACTCAGCCGGCCCTTTGGTCATATTCTTATCCTTAAAGCCAGCAGTACTTGATTTGAACGGGAAATTCCTGGAAGAAAGGGTTGCTGCTCTGGGTAAACATTTCCATTTCACGTTTAGATTAACAGTTATTGGGAGGGTAACGTGTGCTCCTAAAGGAATAAGTTTAATGATTAGGTTCATTTTTATTCTGGGACCTGATAATATTGGTAGACTGGCATGGTTATATACCAAAGTCAGGAAACATCAGGACTGGATTTAAGATTTGTAACAAAATAGGTTTAACCCGAGTACCTTGTTAATTGGTACTCAGATTAAGCATAATAAGTAAAGCTGCAGAACTCAAGGATTTTCTTATAAGAAAAATTTAAATTGACACAATACTAGAGTCTTTTCCACCTTCACTTAGCAACAAAGTACCCACTCTGATTATGTTATGACCTGTGTTCAATAGCCACTTAACAGCAAAGTAACGAACTTCAACCACACCCTCTTATAGATGTTTGGCTAGTTGCTATGGATATGTGCCACTTCTGAGATGCACTTCTAGAGTGATTCTTCTCAGTCGTCTCAGCCGCCTTCACCATTAGTTTCTCCTTCAGCCCATTAACATGCTTGAGACTTCCCTATTTCCTTTTTCATTTCTCTTCGTCTCTTGGCTCATTTTCTTTTTACTTCCCAGTATCCTAAATATACAGTTTTATTTTTTTCACAACCCTATACTTGTGTAACTTGCTTGACCTTGGTTCAGCTTTGTAAGAGAAAATTGCACACCCCCAGACTGGCTGTCATTATAGTAGTGGGGTAAAATTACTCTAGTATGATACCCTATTACTATATAATCTGTGGACAAAACAGTTATGGGCTGCTTAACTACAGGGATATGTTCTGAGATATGCATAGTTAGGTGATTTCAGCATTGCAAACAGTACACCCTCAGATGGTATAGCCTACTACACACCTAGATTATGGTATAGCCTATTACTCCTAGGCTACAATCCTGTATAAGATGTTACTGTATAAAACAAGATTAAATCAAGCACAAGAGAATGATGCAATTGGGATGTAAACAGGACTTAACATGGCATACTGTTTACAGCAAACTTTTATAAATGAGAATATACTATAAAATAGATAAAAAGTATAGTAAATACATAAACCAGTAACATTTATCAAGTAGTATGCTGTACATAATTGTGATATACTTGAGTAGGCTTGTTTACACCAGTATCACCAGAAACACTTGAATAATGTGTTTTGCTACATTACAATGGCTACCTCACTAAGTGATAAGAATTAGGAATTTTTCAGCTCCAGTATAACCTTATGGGACCACCCTTGCATAATGCAGTCTGTAATTGACTGAAATATGATGCAGCACGTGACTGACTACAGCAAGATGAGAAATTGTATCAAGAGTCTAGATTCAGTGCTGTCCAGTAGAAATATGAGAGCCACATGAAAAAGCGTTAAAAGGTGAATTTGTTTACCCCAGTATTTCTAAAATATTTCAATACTTAATATTAGAAATATTGTGATACTTTACTTTTGTGTGTGTGTGTGTGTGTGTGTGTGTGTGTACTAGGTGGTGTGATCCAGTGTGTATTTTACACTTAAAGCACACCCCAATTTGCCCTAGCCACATTTCAGGTGATCAGTAGTCATAGATGGTGGGTGGCTACCATTTTTGAAAACAGCCCTCGATAGTAGGTTCAGGTGTCATGCTTTGCTTAAGGTGTAAACTAATTAGAGAAGCCATGCTTGGTGAACTCACCACAGCTGTCCTTTGGTTTTCTTTGCTGAAAATATTAAATTCATCTAGTAAAATAAAATTTGTATTTAGGAGTGCTCGCTTTTCACTATTTCTCTATGGAGTCCCTCCTCAAAATTTTCTTTCATTCAGGGATTTATATGCATTTGTCTTTTTTTGACGTCTTCCATTTTGTACACTGGCTCATTGTCTTTGCCCACCCAAGGATAGGAGTCTATCCTTGGCCTACTTCTCCCTCTACAAGCGCTCTTGCCAATTTCCTTCACTCTCTGCCTTTAGCTACATCTATTAACTGAAGATTATCAATTTTCTGAGCTCCAATTTTCAATGCCTGCCAGCTCTTTCCTACACTGAGCTTATTACTGTAGTGACTGAATTAGTGGCTTTAGGATCCACCCAGTCATCTTAAGAGTAGTCCTCAAATCATACTGATACATGTTTGTTTGTTTTTTTTCTTTTTGGTCGAAGTTGCACTGGC